CCTCTCCTTCCCTTCCACCCCTGGTAACCAGCAAAAAAACTTTCTTTCCATATGTCCTTGACTTTTTACAATAATGAACAAATACTATATTTGTCCATCTGTGATTGATTTCTTCACTCACCACAATGTCCTCCAAGTTCATCCATGTTATGCAGTGTTTTGCAGATTCTACATTATTCTTTAGGGTTGTATAGTATTCTGTTGTGTGTAAGTACCACAGTTTGGTTATCTCTTCTTCTTTCGATGTGCACATAGGTTTTTTCCATCTTTCTGATATTGTAAATAGTACTGCATTGAACATGGGTATTCATGTATCTGTTCTTGTCCTGGCTCTCACTTCTTTAGAATATATACCTAGTAATGGGATTGCTGGGTCAAACGGTATTTCTAATTCCAGCTGTTTAAGGAATCACCATAGTGTTTTCCACAGTGGTTGTATCATTTTATAGTTCACCAGCAATGTATGAGAGTCCCAATCTCTCCACATCCTCAGCAGCATTTGTTATTTTTGTCTTGTTCACTTTGCCATTAGTGCTGGGGTGAGATGGTATCTCATTGCTATTTTGATTTGAGTCTCTCTGATAGCTAATGATCATGAGCCTTTCTTCATGCATTTGCTGGCTGCCTGAGTATCTTCTTTGATGAAGTGTCTATTCATGTCTTCTGCCCATTTTTTTAATTGGATTGTTAATCTTTTTGTTGTTGAGGTGTTGGAATTTTCTATAAATTTTAGAGATAAGTCCCTTGTCAGATATATAATTATTGACAAGTATTAATTTTTTACTGTTATTTTGTTTTGTGCTTTTTTGTGGTGTTGATTTCTTTGTTCCATATAATTTTCTGTGCTGAGCTTGTTTTGTTTATGAATTGTGTTATCAGTTTCTTCATTGTTATTGTTTCAGTATTTGGTGAATATTTGTACTGGTCCTCTTTTTTATTTTGACATGAAAGTTTATCATTTTTCTTTGAGGGTACTCTGTGATTTATAGTTTAGAACTGTCCATTCTATCTTGCAGTTGTCTTGACTTCCCTACCAAATAGAAGTTCTATAACTACACAGTTTTTTTTCCCTCTTTTTGGTTTGTAGTTGTCTTCATTTGTCAATTGATGTCTCTTGTTCCCTGTTTACAATCTTGCAGGCTTGTTTACTTTGCATACTTCTGTAACTGGGTTTGTTTCTGGGTTATGTCATCATGTGTATTAATGGTCAGTTGTTTGCTATTGTTGGTTCTCTGTCCAAAGGACTCCCTTTAGCATCTCTTGTAAGGTTGGTCTGGTTTTAACAAATTCCCCTAATTTCTGCTTATCTAGAAATGTCCTAATTTCACCATCATATTTGAGGGACAATTTTGCTGGGTATATAATTCTTGGTTGGAAATTTTTCTCTTTCAGGGTTTTATATCTACCATCTCATTGTCTTCTCACCTGCATGGTTTCTGCTGAGAAATACGAGATTATTCTTATTGGTTGCCCCTTATAGGTAACTT